CCATGCGGCCATACAACATAGACATGATTTTTTTGCCATTTTTATAGACACTCGTAATGGTACCGATCCCTTCGTACGCGACTCCGACTCGCACTTGGACGGTTTTTTTTTATTACTGTCATCGTTTTTATTGTCGTTCCTGTAATACGTAAATTTGTGTGGCGCGGCGGTTCTCATCCGATATCAATGTTTGAATTTTTGATTACCGTGCGACCCCTTGCTTTGATATTCTTTGAAGTGATACGCAATTTGTGAATTACATTCGAGGACTTCTTGCGATGGGATTCGTGCTTCTTTTATTCATAAAGTCGTCTTTATTTATAAAGATGGACGGGACATTGTTTCAGTTAAGTTTGCAGCCCCGCATAAAGTGCAATCGGAGTGTAACGTATCAAAAATTGTTTCTAAGTTGAAAAGAAGACCGTGGGAGTAATGCTGTACGTATGTACACGTCTGAGTTTCTACTTCTAGAAACTTTCAACCCTACATGTAAGGGAAATATTCGAAGCTATATTCGTAACTGTGGTAGCGGCGTGTGCCAATGGACCTTTGCAACACCCGCAGGTTTGTAGACGCGTTGCCGCTTTTTAATAAAGCGGGTCCTGGCTACCTCACTAACCATACGAAACAAGGAAGTGTAACACTTCCACTTCACGCCGGTCATCTGTGAGGTCGTGGTACTTCTCCGGACGGACCGACCCATTCGTGCAACAGCGGAGACTATTGCGCGGCCCTCCCACAGAGTTAAATAAATGTCGGGATGATGAACGGAGTAAATGCCTTTATGTCATACGCGATTGTATCTCTGTATACTCAGCCAGGATCCAGAGACACCGGAGCTCGTTTCTGGATCGATACGCGAACGTACGTACTCAAGTCGCCCGGGTATTATGAATCGCTGCGAGATAACGCCAGCTCGTTGGCCGTAAGCAGGTAACGACGCGTCGTTCCGCTTATCTCCGCTTCGCAGACGTACCGAAGCATCGACGGAGTTATCGTTGTACGTCCGCCATCGATGCCTTTAATGATACTTGTCCTAATGGAGTAAGCCGGATGAGACCCCGATGGATCTCTGGAACGCGGAGAATGTCGTTTCTTTTTTTATTATTATTACAAGTGAACCTCAAAGTCACTGAGCAAGGGGATGACACTATTGTCATCTCAGCCCGTGTACGTTCACGACACAAGATATGTTAGTTTTGTCAACCGCTGAAAGAGTAGCCCTCCGGTTACAGCAAGCAGTAGATGAAATACAAATGTATCAACTTTACGCCGATCTCCTTTGAGTTAGGGCCACGCTGCAGCCTATGCTGTTGGGCGAATGGGCAGCTCCGTCCGGGGAAGAACCACGGCCTCAAGGAGGACCGGCGTGAAGTGGAAGTATGTGTTATACATTCGCGTTTCGCCTGTTGAGTGAGGTAATCCGGGCTCGCTCTATAAAGCATATCTGCAACTACTCGTGTGAGAACCATGTGCGATCACTTCACATTAGGTGAACCGCCAGATCGCTATTATAAATAGTTTCTTATTACTTCTCGTCGGTCTTTTGTTTGGCTCTGGTACTCCCCCGAATGAGCTTGCCCATTCATGCATCAGCCAAAGCTGCTACCTGGAGACTGGCTACTATGGACCTGTCATAATCCGTGCACCCTGAAGAAAGCCTATACATGTCCCACTGCTGGGCAAAGGCCTTCTCTATACAGAGAGTATCAGGGCATAGTCCACCACGCGGCCCCACTGCGGATTGGCGGACTTCACATATCTTCGAAATTTTTTTTGTTATTATTTCGAAAATGTGCAGGTTTCATCACGATGTTTTCCTTCACCGCGGAGCACGTGATAGGTCAGCACTTAAAGTTAAAAACTTCATTGGTGCCGACACCGGGATCGAACTCATGTATCGCTCGAGTATATTGAATTAAAGGCAAGCTCCCGGACACTAAGCCATCACGGCTCGCTAATATAATCATTCTAATACAGAGGACAATTCCAAGAATTTCCTCTAATATCTTGATAGCTCAATAAAGTTGAAATAATCGTAAACGCTATCGCGGAAACGTAAACCAAACAGACGACACTCGTAGCAGTACTTCGTCTCCTTATCTACCCCCCGTTTGGGGTCTAATAAAAAATGTACGGGTCGCTCGGGTTAATCCACCCGGGGAAGCCCCCCCCCCCCACCTGTGAGTACGGCCGATCCGTAAAGGACGATACAATGAAATACGACAAACGTCTTGAGCCCCATTCCTTTTTTTTGCTAACCCTACTTGTGTCAGTGTGTTTAAAGTTACTGAAGAAAACTCACTTCTTATGTTCAACATATTATAATAGGAGCTTGATCAAAATTTCAATACTAGTTTCTTTTTTTTTATTTTATAATTGATGCACCTACTTTAAATTCGATGGGTCATCCTGAGATTGATTGGCATTAAAACTTCTTCAAAGTATTTTTGTGTATAAAGGATAAAGATATGAAACTTTTGATCTTTATAAATTTTCTGTCTAAACTTCCCTATTTTGACTCGTAGCCCTCGCCCACAAATTAAGAAAGCGACTGTATATGAAAATTTAAAAATCGTGGCGGAAGTGGTGTCTATTATGTTGTGATTCATCATGTATTTTATTTCATTTGGAAGAGTTCACATAAATGTAATTATAAATATTTATAATGTATGTAAGAAATTTAAGTTTTATAATTTATTTGGTCTCAAGAACAGCGGGGACAGAATCGTAAGCGTAAGCTAGTTTCAATATAAAATTGTATCATAAAAGTTAAAGCTTTTAAGACCGCTAAACTTTCGACGTTATTGTTGGGGCTTGCAGTTAAAAAGTTTCAATAAAATGAAAAGGTAATAGACAAAAGATATCATAAGTGAGGTAACATGTTTAAATTTTTTTTTTTATCTCGAATTTCGAACACATTTTTTACATAAAGTTCTCTAGTCCCAAACCAAGCAACGCCTCGGTACTAGAGAACTGATAAACGTTCCTTAACTTTTCTTTTTGTAAATAAATACATATTGCACATATAAACACCCATACACTGGAAAAACTCGATGGGGATTGAACCCACACCCTCTGGTGTAACAGATAGGGTCACTACTCCCCACTCCAATCGGGCTGTCAATACTTTTCCAAAACTATTACACAAGCCATTTCCAAAACTTATTTTTTTTTATACCTAACAAAACCCTTATAATGTACCTAAATAGGATTACATACAAGCCTATTCATTACTAAAAACATTTTTTTACATAAACATCAAATGACATGAATGTAGAACTCTCTGCTATACATAAACTGGTTTATGACTAAAAAGTATTATTCCATAAACACTAAAACGCCTCGGTTCCTCACAAAAGAATGTCAGTCCCTAAAGATAAATGGCACGCGGATACATAAGCTTAGTGTAATAAAAAAATCTCTCACCATAAACATCGAAACTCTTTAAAATCCCACTCGGCTACGTTAAAGACAAATCGAGCCTCTGTTAAGAGCATCGAGTTTCGATCCGTTACATATCCCCGAATGCTCCGCTTCCCGCTCAAACGGTGCGATTTTTTCCGCCCAATAGATTTTAACGCGGACAGTTTGCGAGTGGATAAATGCGAGTCGAAGTTTGGACCAATTCGACAGCTCTTTTCGAAGTTAAGTGATTTTCTTAGTGCCGAATTGGAGTTCACCAAGATCACTTGTTACGTAAGTTCGGTTGCCGCTTTGAAGAGGACGAAGACTTCGTTACCACCCGAATTGTGCTAGGACCACGCAACAGTCTTAGCTGTTGCACGAATGGGCAGGTCCGTCTGGAGAAGTACCACGACCTTACAGAAGACCGGCGTTAAGTGTAAGCGTCATGCTTCTGCGTTTCGCAGAAGTAGCCGGAGGTAGCCGGAGCCATCGTTATTATAAGGCATAAGCGATGCATCTGCAACCTTACGGCCGTTACAAATGTCCATGAGCGGCGGTTATCACTAAACATCAGGTGAACCGCCAGCCCGCTTGCTAACTTTTCACATTAAAAAAAATGTTTCTTTTATGTTTGTTACCCCAGAAGTCAGTCATTTATGGAGCGATTTTGAAAATTATTTTTGCATTGGGTTCAGTTGAGGTGGGACATGTCAATTTCATTGGACTATGGACCTTGGATTCCTTAGATGTATGAGGTAATTTCACAAAAACAAGTAGAAAATGTAGAGAAGTGTGTAGTAATGTCAGTAATTTGAAGTTTCTAAATGTTTCACTTCTTTTGTGATTTCGTGTTTCGCGATTAACATAATGGATTTTAACACATTCCTTAAAATGATACCGAATTTAAAAACTGCAGCCCTGCAGTTTGCATTTTTGACTGTTATAAGTAATTTTTACTAATTATGTATAAAGTAAAATGGGACTGTAATGTTCTAAAGGACTAAATTGAAAATAAAACAGAATTTAAAAAAAATACTTTACAAAGGCGTAAATTACAATGTGGACCCGTTTGTCAGGTGTATGAGTTTATTTATAGCTATTTCTCTCTGTTCTTGATTTTCTTCTTATTTTGAGATCAAGGATAGGTTCTGTTTTTTTTTAAATATTTAAGTCACCTGATGGCAAGGGAGGACCGTTGACAATGGCCATTTAGTGTCACCAACACGAGAACCGTGTTACCAATCTATGAGAGTGTGAGTCTTCGGCTACCTCACTCACCAGAGGAATCGCAAAAGTGTAAACACTTACTACGCCATTCATTTTTCATCCGCCCAACCGTCCGACCTTTGTCTCATGAAGACGCAAACGTAACAGCTAGGTACGTACGTGACGACACATTTCCATTGTCAGCAACATTTCCCCGTCGACGGCGTCAGGCTCGACGCCCGTCACGGCTAAGATATAAGCTCGGTGCAACTCTTCACCCATCTCTTTATATCCACTTAGGATCATAAGACGCGTATGTGTTCACTTGAGCGTATTACAAAACGACCACGTCACACTACTAGGAAATTTTATGAATGACGCTTTCATTTCAGCGGAAGCGGCTCCGCGCGGCTCTGAACTCTATTTTCGGGGCGTTTCGGTGCGAAATCGCGCGGCCGCAACGCTAGTCGCGTGTCATTGTTGAATCTGTCGTTCGTGCGGTGGCGGTTTAATGGTCCATCAAATAATTCTATTCTCGCGACGGTTGCGTAAGGAAAATGAGTCTTATGTACTCAGAGCAAAAGACAACTAACTGCCTATATCATCATCATTTCGGCATGTTTGAGTTCACTGCTGAACATAGGCCTCCCCCATAGACTGCCACGAAATACGATCCTGAGCCACCTGCACCCATAATATGTATATGATTATGTTCAACTGCTGGGCAAACGCTGTCCCCTTACAGAAGATATTAGGTTCCGAACGGGCAGTGGATAGCAGTGGGATCGCGTGTTGTATACCGTAGGTATAAGATCCCACTGCGGTTTGGCAAACTTCACATCTATACTTTTTTTTGTTATTATTTCGAAAATATGCTGGTTTTCACACGATGTCATCACGTACTCAGCGGTGAAGGAAATCACCGCTGAGCACGTGATGATGGAGTTTGAGCAAACGTTTGCAAGGCGTTTGTTCGTTTGCCTCCTTAAAAAAAAACAATCATAAGTATGCACTAAATTCTAACAACAGTTATGAGTATCAAAGTACTTTCTGATTATACTTATTAGCTGTACTGATGAAAGTACATTTAGTTTATATAGTGAATAATTAATACTATAATTTTGTAATAATGATGTAATATAATTTCACTGGCCCAAACCACTTTCCCGTTAGCTTTTTTGAGTCCTAAATGTGCGGATTAAATACTGTGCAAAGTAGTGCATTAAATACGGTGATGCACATATTTAGAATCTTAGAAGGACAGTTAATTTTTTTCATGGAAACATCTTTATTACTATTTTCGTACAGGGATCGAACCCAGGAACACACATCGGACTGTTCGAAGCTAAGTCACTTGGCTTATTTTCTCCGCAATTAAGTGGTTTATGTGGGCTATTGTGTTACTTTAATTAGTTTGCATACTCGTGCTTCATACTTAAAGAAAACCGTAGAAAGACCAATTAAATTACTTGAAAATTAATATGCTAATATCTCAGCTTGCACCTTACGAGAAACTTTATTTACGGTACTTGTGTTAATTAAGAAACTGGGTAGAATTATTGAGTAAAGTCTCTTTTAATTTGCACTGTAATTTTCTATTGGGCTCCGTTTAGGTCCCACTGGTGTCAATTGTTTTTTTGTTATTAACAAACTTATGACTCATTTCTTTTTATATAAACTACTAAGTAAATTAGTTATAATTCAGTAGTCTAAAACAGCAAAAGGAAATAGTTTTCTCAGTTATCATAATACTACAAGAACTAGGAATGACTCCGTGACGCAGTTGCCAAGCTGTTGGCTTCGGTCGTGGGTTTGATTCCCACACGGGACAACTATGTCTGAACAACATATTTTCGTTATTTCGTATCTGGGAGTTATCCTAAAGTAAGGGCAACGTTTAAAAAAAATTGAAATCGTATGTACTCTTGTAATTGCAAAAGCTGCGTTCGTAAATGGCGCGATGACTTCTTATATTCCACGAAGTCCGAAGACGTAGTTGCTTCAAAGGACTATAGTTATTATGCTTCAAATGTCAAGGTCTATTGTACCATGCATTCCAAACTCGGTCTATTATTAAAGACCTGCGCGGAAATGAATACTGCGATTTAATTACCACTGATTTATGACCGAGAGCCGTCTTATTACCGGGCATCGATTGCTATCGATTCTAGCGCTCTGGCGCTTTTGATTTGTGGCATCGCGTAAAGAGTTCATTTTGAATTCGATAGTAATTTATCGCTTCAGCGCCGTACGGTTTATTTTTCAAGGTTTTCCCCGTTGATATAGAATAGATGAAAATTGCTGCACATGCGATTCCTCATTTTACATTTTACCTATACAGTATACATTTAATGATCGGGCTTAAATAATAACATGATATTCAGACGTGCACCCCTCACGAACTTTGAAAAGATTTCGAGGCCACTGCTTGGTCTACTTCTACTACAGTGAAAAAGTAATTCATTTCATCATTGAAAAGCGTAAATTCCTCTTGCAACAACCAATAGTTGCACAGCCGGCACAAACGCTCACTCGGGCCACCTCCAATTTGGACCGAGTCCACGAGCAATCTATATTGCTAGACCTAGATTTCGCGGCGTTGCGCGAATTTTTGACGGGAATCCGTCACGCCTGACGTTGCCCTGATCGGTTGCCAAACGGGGCTCGCCTAGCGACGCGGGGTATTGGCATTTTCTCTGGCTAAACGAGCTCTGTTGCCATGCGTACGCTAAGACTAACCCTGCAGCCAAAAGAAAGCTTCTAAACTAAGCTAAAGGCTTCTGCAGCTTGGTGCAGGGTCCGGCTAGGTCATGGAATTGGAACTGTCTCACTCACAGAAGATGGGTTATGATAATCGTCATCGCAGAAATGTGTCATTTTAATTCCGGTATTAATTTAAATAAATAACTAGCGCCTTGGTTTTCTTCTCTGATGTATACAAAGTAAGCCGCTTAAAAAGGAGGAATAAAGGCGGAGATTATACAGATCATCTTAGTAACTTCAACAATGCTTATCTATACATACAGATAAATAAAATTGGAGTGTCTGTTTGTAATATTGAAATATCCGCTTATTACTAAATGCATATGGATGTATAAACGGTATACATATATATATATACTAAATAACATTTTTTTTTTTAATTTTGTCTGTCTGTTTTTCCGGCTAATTTCTGAAACGGCTGGACCGATTTGGACGGAACTTTCATTGGCAGATAGCAGATGTAATAATAAGTAACTTACTAGTTACTTTTATTTTAGAATTTTTTTTTATTTTAAATTCCACGCGGACGAAATCTCGGGCACAGCTAGTATGTTATATGTATATATATTAACATAGAGAAGCCGTGATAGATCCGTGTACGGGCGCTCGCCTTTAATTCAATATACTCGAGTTCTTTCCCCAGCGCCAACGCCAATGAAATGATTAATACTAAGTGCTGAATTATCACGGTGAAGGAAAATATCGTGAGGAAACCTGCACATTTTCGAAATAATAACAACAAAAATATTTCGAAGATATGTGAAGTCCGCCAATCCGCAGTGGGGCCGCGTGGTGGACTGTGTCCTGATACCCTCTCTACAGAGGAGGCCTTTGCCCGACAGTGGACACACACATAGTGGACATACACATTTATATAATAGTGGACACACACATCTATATATAAATTAAACTGTCAATACGGCTTGAGGCGTAACAAGTGTTTACTTGTAACGCTAATGTCAATAACACACTTTCCAAAAGTATTTCAAGCTGGCAAATTAATAGATTCGCTTTCGAAATGCCGCAATCTAAATTCTCCATTTCAAATTTGGCAGTAAAATGTTCTCGTCTTCATATTCCTAGTATTTGCGTTCATCTAGAATGTTTATCTTTGAATAACTGATAGAGAATTTCAAGTTTAACGGATGGGCGACTCGTTGAGTGTCGGTCACAAGTTTGAACACACCTAGTGTTAAAATAAAATATATATAATATGATTGTATTTAATAAAGTTAGATATTTAGATTTTCGATACGGGGACATATCGGGCGCTTAGCTCAGTTGACGGGTCTGGACGCGTTACTAAGGCACAGGTTCAAATCCTGGCAGAGAAAATTTATCGAAAATTTATCTATTATAAAAGCTCACGTTTCAATTTCATCTCGAGTGCCGACTAGCAAAAAAAAAAATTGTTTAGCAAAGCGAAACGAAATTAATTTTAAATTATTCATCGATTTTTAAATTATCCCGAACGAATGTAGGATGCTTCGACGATCTCTCGTTTTATAGATAACATAAGTGGGCCTTGTGCTTTGATTGAATTTGAACGAATTTTGAGTTTTGAATTGGAGTCACAATCAATGTAGACAGTTCCCTTGCGAATTGTACGCAACAGCCGTAGATATATTGATGCATGTATTCGGATGGTGTGACATTTGCCTTACTGGGTTTCGATAGAAGTACAAGTAGGTGCATGAAAGGAGCCTCCCCGAGCGATGTACATATAGAGTCCGTACGTCCGGCGCACCCTGGGCAACAGTCAAAGATTTCACCCACTGACTGGCCAATCCTTTCACCACGATGACAAATCGACACGCAAAGAAGAAGATAGAAGAAGTACATAATTATGGAAACGCTGAATAGGTGGCATGTGATGGTCTACCTTGATTGTATCATAGAGTATGGCGTAGTCGGGTAAAACATTACTTCTTTCGGGATTATGTCCATGGGGTGTATGTGGTATATATGTCATCCAAAAGCAATCATCAGCGGAATCAATGTGATCATGATCTTTAATCAACCCATCAATGGCTTACGGCTTGTGTGTTGTCGAAACAATACAAAGTAAACAACAGTAGCCACAGTTAAAGTTTACTGTGAATAAAACTCGCTAAACGATGGTACTGTGAAACTCGCTAATACGATGTAAATTGAATTCTAATGAGAATAGTTTACATACCTTTGCTGAATTGATATTTGAAAAATAAGTTACATAAATAAAGGGAATGAGAAGCAGGCGCTTTTTAATGAAATAACGAATAGATCGGGGCAAATATGACTTAAGTAATTTGTCTATTCTTTTTATCGCGCCAAAACTAATAATGGCTTTGTCAGAATGACGTGTGATGGCTTTCACACATACACAGACACCCACACATGCGCGGCACACTCGTCCGAACACACCGCGCGTCCCGCTCGGCGGTTCGCACCTCGCAGTCTCCGATACCTTTACCCCTCTCTGTCCCAGTGACTAATTTACTTCGGCATTTAGCAGAACGGAACACTCGTGGCGGAACGGTCTCTGTTGCCAAAAGTTTCCCCTGCTCCCCCCTGCCCGTGCCCCCTTCCCGCCACATCACCTACCCGTCACGTGCCCGTGCCACATTAATTTTAATCGATATTTCGCGCCTCGCGATTTGGCCGGCGTCAACGCGCCAACGCGGATGACTCACCGAGGTCGGTTCTCGTCTTGTGATTGTGTCAGTCTCCCCTTCCCTATTTAGTTCCCCTGTACGATAGACAAAGTATGCCTTTGCTCTGTACTGTGTACTCACGAGGTCTGTAATGATGCTGTGACCTAACGTAACTGTGAAACGTGACAGTTAGTGGTGTTTCTCAGTTCTGACGGAAAAAGATAGCCAATACAGCATGTTAATGTATTAGCAGAAGTGTTGTCGACATTTTCGGGAGACATAGCTGCTGTATTTTAATTTTTATTAGTCTCTAACTCTCGCAAAATTATTCGCGACTGCCTGGATTTGCACCTGCACCTTCCTGATTACGCTCTGGCCTAACTGTGGTAGGGAACAGTCTTCGATGTTGCACGAATGGGCTGGTCCGTCCGGGTAAGTACCACGACCTCACTGAAGACCGGTCTGAAGTGGAAGTGTTACACTTCTGCGTTTCGTCTGGTGAGTGAGGTAGCCGGGACTCGCTTTATTAAAAGGTGACAACGCATCTGCAAGCCGACGGATGTTGCAAATATCAATGGTCGGCGGTTATCACTTAACATCATGTTGACCGCCTGCTCGTTAACATAAAAAGGCCACTCAGACGCTCTAGCCACTAAGCTATGTAACAGCCGTACGTTATTCCACGAGCTGATTTCACGATCAATTTCCCAACGTAACACGATGCTCCTGACCCGTTTGGCGGGAAACTTTGCGGCTATCGCTAATGAGTTTTCGTCTCCGTCATATTCTCATGTGCCAAGATCACGGCGTCAAATTATCCGCGAAACGAGTTCTTTGAAAAACCGCCTTCCACGTTCCGGTTACCGGGCGTGTGATATTTTTATAATAGAATTTATCCTATATTAGAGAGATATTCTGTGCCATCATAAAAGAGAGAACGGTTTTTCTTTTCTTTATGTGAGAAGGTGGCAAGTGAACTAGCGGATATCAAATAACACCTGGTGTTAATTGATAACCGCAGCCCATGGACCATTTTCAACACCCGTACGGTTGCAGATGCTTTCAAACCTTTCAATAAAGTTGGCGGAATTCATAATGTAATTGACATAAATCTCTAAAATCTAACTAAAGGCTGGATTTTGAGGAATAAGTTTTTATATTTGACAAATATATCTTGTAAAATGTTTAACATTACGTTTTACTGTCGTTTCGATACACGGACGTCGTAAATTACTAGTGGTTTTTTTTAACGACTCGTCGAGTGTATCGTTAAATTATTGAAATCTTTCAGCTATTGATGCGTTCCTAATTCCTCTATAAAATAATAATTGGTTGTAACGACGTCAGTTGTAATTTGTTATTAGTTTTGAGTGTTAATATTTTTTTATTTTTCGTTCCACGTTTTCTGAGAAATTAATGATGTTGGTGTAGTTTTTTTTTTAACTTATGTGTTTCAAATTGCATTTAAAAATATGTCTATTTTAATTTTAGATTATTTTTATTTTAGAAATATTTCGTCGCTACGGGAATTTCGTAGGTGTGACAATCAGCCGTTTAGATTTGTGGTTAAAGCATGAATCTGTAAGAGGGGTGGGTTTGATTCCAACAGTAGCGAAAAATTTTTCGTCCTTTTTTTTACAAATGTTTATGTTCAATATTAAGTGCACAGATTAATACTTTGAACATTAAAATTTAAGTAATAATTTAAAGAAAAAATTATACAAGAAATATATAGGATATCAATATATGGGATCGCGTTGTAAACTATGCCCTAATCCGAGTACATTCAGTACAGAGCAGACCGATTAATTTACTTTTTTTTGTTCTACCCGTAAACCGAATAGTGAATGCGAGACTCGTGACTATATTTTATTTTTCTGGTAGTTAGAAAATATCAAATACTTTCTAGAATATACGAGTGATCAAGAAAGTTCCTAACACCGCACCCTACATTCAGGACCGATCATAACGCGCCTGCAAAATGACATCTATTTGTATAGCTACAAGGGTCAATTTCCAACCGACTACGTTAATTAAGACGCAGACTCCGATTTCAGTCTACCAGATACCTAGATATTTTACTGTTAATGACATCGAAATATTCACCCTATATTTTGTTGGAGCAACATTTTAAATTGCGACCTACTTACCAGATCTCGACAATGCCGCTTGGTAAATGGTGAAATATCGTTTTTCTAGAGAAAGTCTCGCTTAAAGTGAAACTATATAAGAAGACGTTTAATTGGAGAAAAAACCCTCTCCATATCGAATATTAAAAATGATTATACGACGGCTACCGTGGCTCATTATTTCCAATTTTTGAAATCGAAATGTTTACTTCAAAGTCGCGAAGTTGTTAAACAAGTAACTATCGTTTTGTTACTTTTAAAAACTCTTCGATAACATTCCTGCGTTTTAAAGATGTTTTACATAGAAAAATTCTACAAGAAAAAACACGAGGAATCATCATCCTCCCACCCTTATCTCACCTAGGTGGGGTCTTCACGTATGAATCATTCATTGTACGCCGTTGAGCAGATGTCAACGGGCAACGTTTATCACTTACCATCAGTTGAACCGCTCGCTCGCATGCCACCTTCTTACATAAAAAAACCAACCAAGTGCGAGTTGGACTCGCGCACGAAGATTATCTATAAAAATGGCAAAAAATCATCTCTGTTGTATTGGGAGCCCCACTTAAATATTTTTTTAAATATGTTTTTTTTTGTTTTTGTTGTACACAGCGGCAACAGAAATACATCATATGTTATAAATTTCAACTGTCTAACTATCACGATTCATGAGATATAGCCTGGTAACAGACGGACAGACAGACAGAAAAATAGACAGACAGTGGAGTCTTAGTAATAGAGTCCCTTACCCCTTCGGGTACGGAACCCTAAAAAGAAGATAAAGAGGACAAAGTTGGTTCATCGTCCACTTAGCTCCGATGTGTTATGGGTTTACGTTGTAACGGCTTTCGTCGCGTTCGTTGTTCAAGCCCGTTAATCTATGAGAGAGCTCGGGGGGCGGGGAAGAATCAGGCCACGAGTATAAAACCGCAACGGAAACAATGGGATTATAGTATACGCGAAATCGCAACCCGCTCAACTTTTATCCCCCGACAGATGACTCCGTGGCGCAGTTGTCAAGCTATTGGCTTCGGCCTGAGGGTCGTGGGTTCGATTCCACCGACGTCTATTTGTGTGATCCACAGGTGTTTTACCACGTGAAATTTGTGTTTGTAAAACGTCCTTATAACAAACGATAATGTTATCTTGCAAGATAGTAATCCTGTTAGAGCGATTGTATGGTGTGTGATTCAATTATAGATTAAAAATATAATTTTACAACGGTGGAAGGGGCACGCAGCAGCCTCGGCTGTTGCACGAATGGGCAGGCTCGTCCGGGTAAGTACCACGACCTCACAGAATACCGGCGTAAAGTGGAAGTATGACAAATACTTTCGCGTTTCGTCTGGTGACTGAGGTAGCCGGAGCCCAATTTCCAAAAAGGTTGTCAATGCATCTGCAAACTCTCGGGTGTAGCAGATGTCTATGGGCGGCGGTATTCACTTAACATCAGGTGAACCGTCTGCTCGTTTGGCAACTTTTCACATAAAAAGAAATAAAAGATATTTGAATCACACACCATAGAAAGTTTGTGTTTGATCTTTTTCATGTTTTAATTTATTTTTTCTAAAATTCATTCTAATACATTAAGCGGCTGCCGCATGAGCAGATAATCCGCATGTTTGTAAAGGCAATAAGATTTTGCTAAAATATGCTATTAATAATGCAATGATGTTACTAAAGATGTCATCTGTTTGTGATGCAAGAGGGTGACAGTTACTGGACTTAAAATTAAAAATAAACGCTATAAATCCGTAAAATTTGTCCATAAAATTAATCCGTTTATTTCATGTTTTAGCTAATGCTCAGAAACTCCTATAGCCATTCTTCGAAGCAATAATTACATTTGTGGATTATGAATGTGTTCATTTACGTGCGCGCTCCGTTGTTTCAAAGATAACCGCGAGAGGAGATAACAAGCGATACGATACTCCCCCTCGCGTCCCGTAACGAATGAAAGCGCTTAGGGAATTAATTCGCACGTCGCATTATTTATGGGCGGCGTTTATGGCGAGAGGAATCGCGCTTCGCCTATAAAGAAATGTATTTAATTAAACCCCGCGTTGTAGAATTGCCGTGGAGCGACAAGTAAACCGCCGCCACCGCTCTCCGGCTCGCTGTGATGCGGCCGCCTTGAGTCAAAGGCGGAGGCGGATTTAACGACGTTTATAGTTCCGTAAAAGCCTCGTGGTGGCTCAGATTGACAACCTTTTAGGTCCCATTATAGATTGCGAAACAAGCCAAGATTTGAACCTCCATCCGACGGGCCCTTGGAACGGGTCGTACCCCCCTATTACTGGATTGTCCATCTCATCACCACAAGATCGAAGTGAATACTTCTTCAAGGCGTGGTTAAATAATATGGCCGAAAAAGCTTTTTCGGGTGCATGGAGTGGCACGCGCATGTCACTAACGTTGCGGTAACGATTTGCCACCCGCTATCGCTTACCCCTCGCACCATCGCACCCGGACCATTATCGGGCTCGAATTGGAAGAAAGCAATTAGAGGCGCGTCGGTTGGTACCATCTACTACTATAAGTCCGGGGACGTTTGCAACAAATTAAATTGTTGGGCAAACATTCAGGTGTCCGCCCATCGATCGAAACCCTCCGCGGGCGGAACGGGCCCCCGGCTTTATTTGTCGACGACGGAGACAATGGACCAAGGAGGTTTTATAGCCCCGCCGACGGAGCGCGGGGATTTGGGACCGGTTCGGCCACGTTCATTTGCCTAAGTAGCGATTCAATTCGGCTCTTTGTAGTTCTCGAGTGTTATTATGCGACATTTAGTACTTCACCCTCATCTTAACT